TGTCCATGTTCGTGCATAAGAGTTACTACCGAAGTAATTTATTTTAGGATAGAGGCACATAGAGTGATAGATATATCAGATTGAGTATAGGGTCAACTGCAAATGGATGAAGAAAAAAAAATATTCTCTTCATCTCAAAATATAGCAACCTATGATCAAATTAGATATATCATATTGAGTCATTGAGTGATCTAAAATTTTAGAGACCATTTGAGCTTGTCAAATTTATTTTAGAGGCCATTTGAATTTGGCTCTAAGGAGTGGAATGTCTTTTTTTTTAAGAACTCATTATATTATATTATATTATATTACTCCCTCCGTCTCATAATATAGCAACCTAGGATGGGATGAGACCTATCCTAGGACTACGAATCTGGATATGAGGTCCCATCCTAGGTTGCTATATTATGGGACGGAGGGAGTATAGATGAAAGACAGGGTTCAGAGGATATGAAATCCCCGATACAATGTCTACAACCAAAGATGTTAGGGTGCGTTTGGTTGCAAGGATGGGATAGGATGAGATGGGACGAACCCACTTTTGGGGTTGTTTGGTTGAGGGGTGAGTGGGATGGGTTGGTCCCTGGAGAGGAATATCCCTCTCAGATCCAGGACCAACCGATCCGGGAAAATCTGGCGGATGAACTCGTCCCAGTTGGGACGAGCGAACGGCATGACGACGCGTTGCTCGAGCTCAGGGCCGGCCTGCGCGCTCGCCCTACTCGCCCTCAGGAGCAGCGGCAGACACCGGCGGGCTCAGCGACGGCGACCGCGGCATGCTCGGCGACGGCGACCGCGGCTGCGGCCACGGGGGCTTGGCGACGGCGGCCGCGGGAGGCTTGATGACGGCGACCGCGAGGGGCTCAGCGACCGCGGGGGGCTTGGCAACGGCGGATTTAGTGGTGGGGATGGCGGTGGAGGCGGATCCGCGTCCTCTACCTACTCGCCGCCAGCTTGCTCCTTCGCCCGCGCGACAGCCGTCGCGCTCCTCCGCCTGCTTGGCCATCGTCGTGCTCCTCCAACTGCACCCCTGCTCGCCCATCCGTGCTCCTCCTCTGTCTGTCCGCCTGCTCGCAATCTTGCGCCACTCCTTCTCGCCGCTAGCCATCGTCGCACTCATCCGCCCACCCGCTGAGCTCCCACAAGGCTGTCGTCACACATCTCTGCTCACTCTCCTCTTTCTCGCTGATGGTGATAGCAAACGGCGCCCATCCCATCTCTCGCTCATCCCTTCAACCAAACAAAAAAATTAGGATTGTCCTATCCTACAAACCAAACAAGTAAATGGAATCATCCCAACCCCAAAATCAGGGATGGTTTTATCCCATCCCACCTAATCCCGAAAACAAACACATGCTTACAGAACAAAACCATCCCTTTAGAAGAAAGTAAGGGTGGTAGAACTAAAAAAACAATCCTGCAAATGAAATCATACAACATTAATGGATGAGATCGACGGCATTGCCACAACGACAACATCCACATGGCTCTACTACTGACGTGCACGCCGCTTGACATACCAGTAACCCCTTCGACTGCCTTCACGGGAATGACACTATACTGGCCGTACAACATCATAAATCTATTATTAACATCAATTCATCAAAATTTCATGCGAAATAATAATATTTGACAACGATGGTAGTAATGAGAGAAACACTTAATCCAAAAACATATATATGTGTTACTTAATAGTTAAACACTTAAACATAATTCAAATCGACTAAAGCCATATTCGGTAGAAGGATCACTTATTGTAGAACAACAAGTCGTATACCGGTATGTCAATTTCGATCTCACTCCGGTCAGTACCGGCCCAATATATGGCATAGACAAAAATAACTTCGTAGCTAAACATAGTTAAGGAATTGATTAAACCATAGTTCTAAAAAACTGATTAAACCAAATTCGACGACGGAATCCTATCTTACTGTAAAGTTATCCCTCACTAACTCCTTAAGCTCAACATGTAAAGATACCACATCATCATCCACTAACAAGATGACACATCATCATCCACTAACAATCATCACATTTAAACATCATGCAAACATGCTATATCTTTATAGTTTTTATAATTTAAGAGCTTTTCAAATACAAACATGTTAAATTATTATCCAATATAATTCACATAATGTTTCAATGTATATCTTTATTATGTTTTATAATATCCTATATACTTATATGGTTCATCCTCAGTTAGTGCTTAAATAATTAATCTATGGTCCAAATTATCTTTATCATTTTTTCCTCTAATTAAGTCATATCACATTAATTGTTTTTAGCCTTTAGATGATTAATCTACGGTCCAAACTATCTCACTACTTTTCTTCTTTCATAAAGTCATACCACCTTACTTTTTACGTTTAAATCACCATTCTACATACTATTTAAATTTAAATTATCATAAACCACATTAATTTACTTAATCTGATGTTATCTAGCTATTTTACACGTTATTTTTTTTATTGCTATCATACTAAATTTCCGCAGCAATGCGCGGGGTTTCACCTAGTTGGTTAGAAGAATGGTACCAGATCGATCAAGTGACATCAATTTCAGCCATTCCGGTCAATAGACTTGATTGGAACAACCGAAATTAATCGGGAACCAGCCGATACCATACATAAGTAAGAAGAGTCTCACCGGCTACCTGTATTCCCTAATAAATACTCCCTCCGCTTCAAAATATTTGACACCGTTGACTTCTTAGTACGTGTTTGACCATTCGTCTTATTCAAAAAATTTAAGTAATTATTTATTATTTTCATATCATTTGATTCATTGTTAAATATACTTTTATATACACATATAATTTTACATATTTCACAAATTTTTTTAATAAGACGAACGGTCAAACATGTGCTAAAAAGTCAACGGTGTCAAATATTTTGAAACAGAGGGAGTACAATTTATAGGTAAAACTTTTATGTATTTGTTCGTAACAACTCAAAAGTTAATGTTAAAAAAATTACGTTAAAATTTTCTTAGAATCAACATTCGAATTTTTTTTATACTTTTACTTTAACTAGTTATGCCAACCGAGAAGGCCCCATTGATTTAATGGAAAATCATAAGAATTTTAGAGGATTTTATTTCTATAGAATTTTTTTTACATAACCCTTTGAATCAAAGGAATAAAACCTATAAATTTTAGAGGATTTTATTTCTATAGAATTTTTTTTACATAACCCTTTGAATCAAAGGAATAAAACCTATAAATTTCTTATGGAATGTCTCTTCCCATATAAGTTTTGGAGGCTTCTTCATGCAAGTTGTCCCCAAATAGTACCCCCGGCGGCTACACACTAACATAAGTTAGAACCTCATGAAAATAATTATTTAAAAATCTTTATCTCTCCTCAAATCCTTTTGTTTTTCTTGTGGTTCAATCAAACGGTCATTCCTATATATTTTTTCTCCTGTGTTTGCAATTATATTTCTATACAAATCTTATGTTTCTTTTATTCTTTTTTTTTTCGTTCCTATTATTCAAAGTCCTGAACCTCTGACTCGGTATTATCAACGTCACGATATCATCGATTGATAAGGCCATGACGATGTCCATCCAATGTGCATATATATCGGTTTCGCCTTTCTTTTTTCTTTTTCTTTTTTTTTTCATGCGCTCTCGGAATTTTCTGGAGAAGCTGCTGCGAAGCATCCGTGACACTATGTGGCTTGACCGTTTTGCCCCTTTGGAAACAGGGTGCCAAGTATCTCGTGATACTTCTAGATGAAAAGAAGCTGGTTTTCTGGAATCCGTTGCTTTAGCTGGGCATATCGGAATCTCTCTTTATTCTTTTCCTTTTTTTGAAACCGAATGTCTTAAACTCTTTATAGTGTTACTCCCGGTGTTAGGACCTATTCAAATTATAACTAAAATAAATCTTAACAAATAATTTTGGTGTAGCCAAAATTTTGACAATTTAACGGTATCACCAAGCTTTCGTAGGATTTCTTATGTATTTATTAGAGTTCGGTGAGGAACTAAATAGATGCATATATTTGACAACTTCACCAAAAAATGGTATGGTTTAAAATGGCATTAATCCGAATAACCCTTTAGATGTTGGTTGACATCTTAGATAAAAATTTGAAGGTATGGTGTTAAGATATGCTCTGAGAAACGTAGATACATAACTTATCGACTCATATAAATACAATATAAGACATGTTTTGAAGTGTTTCTTAAGGTAAACTAATTAATACAAAGACGATTCTTCACTCACAATGGAAATGAGGGTACAATTATTATTACACCAGAAGCATAAACGATCTCCGTATCTAGTGAGATTTGATAGCTTGTGGTTAATTCTATTATGTGAACTGCGAAGACTTCTCAACATATTTTTTTCATTTATTTTCAGTCATAAGAAACTTGTCTCTTTAACCAAGAAAGCTAGCCCTGATTTATCTACCTTCTTCAATAGTTGTTACTTGCAAGTAATGACACTACTACAACCTGTTTTAACTAGAGGGAAACTTATCTACTATATGGCTCGACGCAGACGGTTCTAATTTCATGATGTCATCGTTTCAAAAGAAAAAAAAACTCTAAATATGTTCACTTATTTAATCACTCAAACGACCGCTTAGATCTATATTGTTATGCAACGGTTTTGTCCTACGTACATTCAATATTGGCGGAAAAAGCAACTTTGCACGCACCTACCGTACCCCTACAGTTTTCCGTTAACTACTCTATTTGTATGCGCTGATACGTCAAGTAACCAGCCAGCCAATCCAAAACCCGTTCTCGTCACCAGATATAATTTATATCACCCGATCATCCATACCAACACAAACACCATCTCACCTAAGACACCAAACATAGATTCAAGATATTAAAAAAAAAACATGTATAAGCTACTAGCAACAAACCTATGCATGGATGGATAATCATGGAGGATATATCATGCCAAGGGCGAAAAGGTAATTTCACCACCCCAACCTCAAGGTCCCCAAGTAACCCTGCTGCTTCCTAGCAGCTTCCAAGACCCCACGTCACGTCGTCGTCGTCTTTCTCGTCGCCGTCGCGGAATTTCCTCCGCCATCGCGCGCCCTCGGTATAAATCGCCGGGAGAAATTTCTCCGAGCTCTCTCCCACCCACCAACCCCCCATCGAGGAGACGACGACGAGGAGGAGATGCTTCCGGGGGTGGAGCTGGCGAGGCGGCGGCGGGTGCACTACCACGGCGACGGGGCGGCGGCGGGGGCAGGGTTTGGGGAGCACCACCACGGGCACTACAACTACTTCCACCAGCAGCACCACCGTCAGGCGGTGGCGAGCGCGGAGGCGGGGGCGGGCGCAGGGGGCGAGGTGAGCCCCGCGGTGGCGGCGCGCATCCGGCTCGAGGAGAAGCTGCGGGGCGCCGCGGCCGCGCCCTCGTCGTCTCTCTCGAGGTGAATGAATCCCCCTCATCCGTGCCCTCTTTTCCCTGTTCATTTCTGTTCCCCTTTTCTTTGTGTTGAGATCCAGCCATGGACTCGTGGAAAAAAAGATCGCGTTCTACATGGCTAATATATTTTACTTCTGCTCGAATTGGGGGAGAGGATCGGTCGGTTCTTGAATTCGATGGCAAGAAGGGAGCCAAGATCTGATTGTTTCATCAACCAGTTTCTTGGATTCAACTAGAAGCTATATATTATCACATAGGAGTAATTCCATATGAACAGTGTATCAGGCTTTGCTTAATTTCAGCATTCAGCTATTCCACAATACTTCAGACATAGAATACTTTTAATTCCATGTGTACTAGCAAAATTCAGACATAGAATACTTTTAGTTCCTTAAAAAAAAGATATAGGAACACCTTTGTTTTTTTTTCCCAAGACAAGATACGAGGCTATTGAGAATCACCTAGTTTTTTTAAGCTTCCTGCAAACCCACTGATAACGACGTCTTTTATGATTAATCCATGTGGGTGATCTTATTTTGTATAGCCATAAGCCAAACTAGTTGGATGGCACCATCTGATGTCTCTGCTTTCTGAAAACTACCACATGTTAGATCAAGCCACACAATGATATGCACAGGGAATTTGCCGATGTATGCCTTACGCCATCACTGTTTCAGTTTGATTGTTTTGGGTACTATCCAGAAATTAGGCCAACGGCTGCACACGCATGCGAAAGGCGTGTGCCCTTTTTCCCGCGTATTTGTGATTTAGACGTCACAGCGTCTGCATGGGTTCTGGATTGTTCAGTAAATAGAATCATCCTTCAGTACATCATGGCTTCTTGCTTGTGCAGCTTGGCTTAAAATTGACAAAACTACCGGTGAAAGATCCGACCTGGTCTTCATTAACCAAACAACCAATTATGGGTATAGTCACAAATTATAGTAATCAATTCAGCATATAAAATGTAGTAACTATCTTGTTACTAGTTTTTGGGATTACCACTGGCATGAATGGTAAACCTGTCACAAGTGATTGGTTTTGGTTAATTGATTTGGGTAGCTTTTGTTATCAGATGTTTGAAATTGAAAATGCATATAGAATAATATAGCTGTTATCAGATTTGGGTAGCATTGGTTCTCAATTGATTTGGTTAATTCCGCATATACTTTTTACCTAAATAAGAACACTAACCAGACATCTCCATTTTCCAGAGGAGGGTTCAGGGATTTTTTTGCAATACCCTTTTTTCTACTACTTGCCTGAATTCTTTTTGAAAGATTTGGCATTTTCTCATCCATCATCAATGTGTTCTCTTCATAAACATCTTCCTGCTTCGATATGGAGTAGCAAAACGACAAAAACTGAATATCGATATTCCTGTGAGCTAACAATCAGTTACGTACGCAGGTGGGGCAGGCGATTTCGCGAACGAGATGGGAGCACAACCTCCAGACAACAGAACAACCAGCAAGAGCAGCAGATTCAGCTGCCCACTGAACCCAGGCCTACTCCCAAACATTCGATGACCATGCTGGAGGCGCCATCAACAAGAAAAGCCCCCCGCCGCGAGATGAGGAGGACACTTTCCAAGGCCGATCTCTGCGCTGTGTGCCTCGACGAAGTGCGGGAGCGACACCAGCGGGTCACCAGGCTACCCTGCTCCCACAAGTACCACTCGGAGTGCGTCCTCCCCTGGCTGGCCATCCAACCAGACTGCCCCTGCTGCAGGACGCAGGTCCCTTCGGTGGACTCCCTCTTTGTAGCTTGATCAGCTTGCTGGAAGATTTGGCATCTTCTTCCTCTGCACAGTTTCCGAAAGAAAGGAACAAAAAGAAAGGGTTTTCATTGTCTTCAGCAGAACATGAACTGACATAGACACCATGACAAAGTTTTGTTCTTCAGTTTTCTCTTCTTTTAGGTTCTGTGATATTGTGTGTTTTATCCCGGTTTGTTTATATGGGCTGCGGGAGCTGAAATATGTTGGGAAGTTTGTTGTAGGGGATTGGTGATAAAATGCAATTGCAAATGATATGGTTTTGAAAAAAAAAGGTATTGTTTCTTTTTTCCAACTTTAAGGGAAAGATGGGTCCGGACAACTGACACATCTGAATGTATTTTTTTGGTGTACTTGAGACTATGCAGCCTGGGCTTGGTCTGTAGTTGGTCATCTGGTTATGGCTTGGTCTGTAGTCACACTTGTGGCAACTGACAAGATTCCTTGTTCATCATGCAAGTCTTTATTAATTTTGTTAGCCAAATTTTAGACAAGTTTAGAACATAATAACTACACCCAAATGTTCTGTTCGGTACACTACACACAGCCGAGGCCGACATGTGAGAAAGAGAATCTAAGGAATTTATTTATTTTAAAAAAACTACTAAACCTTACTATTTCCCGATCTAAATCTTTTACTCCCTCCGTCCCACAATAAAAGTGATTTTCAGTTTTTGCTTGTAACGTTTGGCCACTCGTCTTATTTAATTTTTTTTTTGCAAATCTAAAAAACGAAAAGTTGTGTTTAAAGAACTGTAGATAATAAAGTAAGTCACAAATAAAATAATTAATAATTTCAGAAAATATTGAATAAGACGAGTGATCAAACGTTGTAAGTAAAAACTCAAAATCCCTTATATCTTATATTATGAGACGGAGGGAGTAGCGATAACATTGTTTTGGTTGGGTGGTAAAATAAAACTGTCACGTCACAGGTGGTGTTGAAGAAAAGAGTTTAGATTTTGGAATTAGGTTTTGAAGGGTTTGTTTTCAAAATAAAAATTAAAATATTTCAAAAATAAATAAAAATTCGAAGCTAAGCCTCGGTGAAAAGCCCAACACTGAAAATACTGTTTTATCATATACTCGTACAATCATAATACGGAAAAAAAGATTTAAAGTTTTTTTAGACATGATTTAGTAGGTGCATGAAAAAGTCCCTACACAAAGGTTGACTCTAAGCTTCAAGCCTTTCAACCTTCGAGAAGCAAAGAACACACGCCACATCATTGCACCAGCAACAGCATCAACAGCAGCCAGGTATTATATTTCAGCAAGCACCAAGCCACCAAATGTTGGTCCATTCAATGAACCAGAAAAAGAAAAGTTCAGTTATCTGTATTTCTCGGTCATTATTTCCACACGGAAGAAAGAAATTCCAGGCCGGCACTGGCCTGGAGTGAATGCAAAACTAGAGCAATTAATAATTAATCAAGTATGGACATCAATTGACCTAAGACAGTTTCATCCATACATTTCACACAGATTATTGCTCCTACGTCTCCATGTTCTGGAAGAAACAAGCAAGGAGAGGACGCATATGTTGCCCAATTAATTAGGGTGATGACCATTTTTTTTCTCTGTCAAATCTGACGGTATAACTTGAGGTGCAGTCTTCTTTTTTAGTCTTAATTTAGTTCCAAGCGCCATTGCGATCGACATCACGCCAAAAATATATAAGTCGCCACTACATCCTCCTATCTTCCTGCAAACAAAGCTTACCTTCCTTCTCTCTCTCTCTCTCTCTCTGAACTCTCTGAAATTAGAGACGATGAAGTGCAGCAGAGTCAGATTAGTTCTTGTGATGGTTTCTCTGCAGGCCATGATCGCCATGCTGCCAGATGGAGCAGGAGCACAAAGTGAGCAGCTGAATGCCTGAATAGTACTGCAAGCTAGCTAATTGAGTGCATGATCGATGGGTGTTCCTCTCTCCTTTTCTTGTCTGAATTTTTTGGTGGTTGAATTGCTGCTTGGTTGCATGGTTGGTTGCAGATGGAGATGGGAGTAGGTGCAGCAAGGTGAGGTGCGGGATGGGGAGCTGCAGCGAGTCGAGCGACTACGTGTTCGGGTTCGCGTGCAGGTGCAACCCCGGGTGGAGCCGCTACCACCTCGGCAACCTGCAGTTCCCCTTCCTCCCATGTGTCATACCCAACTGTAATTTCATTTCATCTCTTCTCAAGATTTACTTACCTATATTTGTTGATTTCCCAATTAATCTCTTTGATGATTTGTGTGTGCGATGGTATTGGGCTGAAAAAAAGTTTCTTTTATTTTTTTTCCGAAACGACCCGCACCATAGTGCGAAGTTTTATATCAGGGGAAAAATGTTATAACACTGAAGATTATAACCAGGAAAATATTTGGTTAATTAACTGAATTTCGTGGTAACGGTTGGTTCGGGATTTAGGTCATATTTGAATAGTTAACCACGTGAACATCGATTGTGCAGAGGTGTTCGCTTAGGTTTAATGCAAACACCACGGCCATCGGCTACTAAAAACTGTCCATATAATACTAGGTTTTGTCAAGTTACATTTTGTTTGGACGTAGAGGTCACGTGGTTTTAATTAATCCATTATCTGAAATTAATAAAAACCTACTGATAGCTAATAAAAGCTCATCATAGCTTAACGTTGTCATTAGCTTCTCCACCATCGACTATCCTAGCTTTACAATTAACGCTCCTTTTATAGGCATCGATGTTTCAGACATAGCACCTTTTTATGTCCCAAGTGACAGAATAGAATGTACCTAATTTTTTTAAAGTAAATTGCACTTGCGGTTCTTAAACTTGTAAGCAGGTTTCATTTAGATCCACAAACTTACAAAGCATGTATCGAGGTCCCTAAACTTGATTTATTATATTATCCCGGTCCAAAGTCTCATTTGACCGTGGTCTTGTCCATTTGACATGACATGTAGATGACGACATGGCACATTATTATTATTATTCCTTTTTTTCTCTCTTCTTCCTCTTTCATTTCTCTCTTCTTCGGCCTCTTTGACACGGGGGAGCTCGAGGTAGCTCTAGTGGAGGAAGAAGATAAAAGAATAGGAGGAAAAAGAAAAAGAGAAAGAAAAAAAAACACCATGTCATCGTCCACGTGGCGTGCCACGTAGGTAAGACCACTGTCAAACGACGCTTTGGATCGAAATGATACAATAAACCAAGTTTAGAGATCTCGATGTGCGCTTTAAGCCTCAAGTTCAATGGTGTAGTTCTACGTGTACTTCAAATAGGAAATAATAAGATGCTTAAACTTTTAGCTTAAATGTGTATGATTAACTTATGGCTTTTAAAAAACAAATATAAAAATGTTAGCTTGCTAAGTACTAGGAGTATGTGGGAAGATTCCTCTAACATACGGCTTGTTTAGTTGGCGAAAATAAAATTTGTGTGTGTCACATCGAACGTTTGACCGGATGTCGGAAGGGGTTGCAGTCACGAATGAAAAAACTAGTTTCATAACTCGTCTGAAAACCACGAGATGAATTTATTAAGCCTAATTAATCCGTTATTAGCAAATGTGAGTTATCGTATCACTTATGGCTAATTATGAACTAATTAGGCTTAAAAGGTTCGTCTCACGATTTCCTTTCAAACTTGCAATTAATTTTTTTTAATTTATATTTAATGCACTATGCATGTGTTTAAAGATTCGATTTGATGTTTTTGGGAAAAATATTTTGGGAAGTAAACGAGGCCATAGTCAAACCCATTGAATGGACACTTCAACTTGTGTTGTTATTGGTCAAACGGCGTGCAACAAAGGTCCAAACTGCATCTGTGGACTTTGCCACCACATGTTTGGATTAAGTTGCTCATGAAACATGAGTTAAATTTCACCTTTTTTCTTGAAAGAACAAACGAGTTACTCCCTCCGTTTCACAATGTAAGTCATTCTAGTATTGCCCATATTTATATTGATATTAATAAATCTAGATATAGATTTATTAACATCAATATGAATGTGACTAATAGTAGAATAACTTACATCGTGTAACGGAGGAAGTAGTAAGTTGTAACGTTATTATAGTACGTGCCTACGGTAATCTTATCGTGTCAAGAAGTCCAAATTCCAGAAGCAGAGTACAAGCTGTTAATTGCTTTACTGCTCGGTTAACCCCAAAGTCAAAGTGAAAGTCACAAAGAGTTGCCACGTGTACGTAGTTACGCACGCTGGACTGACTTGTAGTGCCACGTAGGCAGAACAGTGATTACCCAGAGAAGAGTTTGACCGTTGACTCTTCCTCCTCGCAGGCACCATCAACTACTCGTGCCAGAACGGGTCGTCGTCGCCGTCGCCGTCGCCGCCACCGCCACCTCCTCCGCCGCCGGCGATGCCGTCGCTGACGAACCTCTCCATCTACGACCGTAATAATCTCTCAACTACTGCACTCAAAACCCACAAGATTAATCACCACCATCATGTCGTCAAATTAAACTGTTCTTAGCTTTAGCTGATCATGGCGTTAATTAATTCTCGCCGTCGTTGATTGTTGCCTGAATGAATGCAGCTTGCCTCCTCCAGTACTGCGGCGACGGCGGCAGCTGCGAGAGGTCGTCGGAGTTCGGCCACCGCTGCGCCTGCCACGACGGCTTCCAGAACCTTCTCAACGACACCTCCTACCCTTGCTACCGGCAGTGTAAGCATCAGCTTTAATTTGCAATACTTCCTTCGTTTTGGGAGTAGATGATATATATTTTTGACTCACGTTTCATCGTTCATCTTATTTTAAAAAAATGATGTAAATGTATAAGATATAAATCATGCTTAAAATAATTTTAACAATAAAACATTTCGCAACGAAATAAATGCTAATTGCACAAATATTTAGTACTCTCTTCGTCTCTAAATATTTAACGCCGTTTACTTTTTAAACATGTATTTAACGCCGTTTACTTTTTAAACATGTTTGATTGTTTGCCTTATTCAAAAACTTTTATAAATCTTATCCTGCGGCCGGCCGGCTGGATGAATGCCGGGCCTAGCTCGTCGCCGGCGACTGATGTTTTTCTTCTTCTCCGGTGGCAGGTTCGCTTGGGTCGGACTGCTCCGGCCTGGGGATCAGCATGTTCAACGGGTCGCAGCCGGGGACGGCGCCGCCGGCGCCGTTCTCGTTCACCGTCAAGAAGTCCGGCGCCGCCGCCTCCTCCCTTCTGCCGGCCGGCGGCGGCGTGCTGCTCCACCTCCTCCTCGTGCTGGTCTCCTCCTTCATGATAGGATGAACAGCAGAGCACAGCTAGTAGCAATAATAGAGAGACAGGCAGAGATTTCTTTTCCCATATTGAGGAGACGTTTTCTTTTTCCTATTTACACCCCTTTTTCAGTAGGAATTTTGTTTCATTCATGTGATCATCAGTGTATGTTAATAATTTCATAGAAATAAAATACTTAGCAGTAGAAGATCTTGTGCACATCAGTAGATAATAATGCTGCGCTAACTATCACACCAGGCACCAGCCATACTCTTCAAAAGATCTGACCACCATCAGCAGCAGCAAGCCAGTAACAGCTTCAGAAGTTCTGTCCACAGACCACAGTGATGCATCATGCAAAGACTGATTGGCAAGATGCAAGAGCAACAAGCACACCAACAAAACATGATAGATGCTTGCTTGATCATGGCCCAGATTAAATCAAGTGATTTGTGAGAAATTAACATCTCCATTGAAGTTTTTCGCTCCACTGATTAGATCTAAACCGATGTAGTGCAGATCACTGCAAACATGTCTCAAAGGTACCAGAATATATCTATCGTGCTATCAGCGCAACGACAGTGCAACATAGCTAGAGATGATTAAGTAATTACAGGTCCAGAGTCTCCAGCTCTGCAAGACTTCTCGCTGCATATATAGTAGTGTAGGATATGGTAGGTAAGGTAAATGTAACTAAGTTTCTTCAGCTGTAAGAACCACCATGTACTGGACAACCGTTGAAGGGCGTAAGAACAGGCGTGCCACTTAGATGGAGAACGAGAGCTGAGCCATGAAGAGGTTGATGACGTCGAGGTACAGCGAGATGGCGGCGATGACGTACTCGTTGTAGGTGTGGCGCTTGATCAGCTGATTGGTGTCGAAGACGATGAAGGCGGAGAACAGCACGGTGGCGAGGCAGCCGTAGATCGTCATGCCAGCCCTCCCCAGAGGGAAACAGATCTGCCGGGTCACGGTGAATTGCACAATGAGTTAGACAGCACTTGAGAAGAAAAGAAAAACGGAGCAGGTTGAGCAGGGAAGAAGAAGATAACCTGAATGATGAGGTATGCCAGAAGCACCAGAAGGCTGGCGGCCAGGAAGGGATACATGAAGGTGAAATCATGGCCCCTGTGGGCTGCCCAGAATGTGAAAATGGTGAGGCCGATGACAGCAACCGCCGTTAGGATTGCTGCTTGCAGAACCACTTTACCTGTTAGCATTGAGCAAAGAAATGTGAACTTCAATTGAGGATACACAAATCATTCTGAAGGAGTATTTGAATCTTGTTTGCAAGTAACAGGAAGTAACAAGAAACTCTCTGAGGTGTCAAGGAAATCATCCATGTAATCTAGCTCAGATCTAAAGAACAAGTTCTGTGTTTTGGGGGTTGCAGTCTTTGAAATCTACAATCACTCAAAATGAGAAGCCATGTGTTGTGCCCAGGGTTTACATTACCGTCGGTAACCGCGTGGTTACCGGCCTTACCACGGGGGTACGGTAATAGAAAAACCGCGGTAACCTCCTTAAATTTAAAAAATAATTTGATTTTTTGATAAATTTTGCACGGTTTCGTAAGATTTTTCACGGTTACCGCGCGGTAACCGTGCTTACCGCCCAGGGCGCGGTAACCTCGGCCCCGGCGGTTTGGGAAACCCTGGTTGTGCCATAACAAAAATGGTGTTCAATTGCCAATAAAGACAGAAGATAGAAAAGGTTGGCAGTTCAATCTCAATATATGATATAAAACATAGCGACCAAGCACTCAACGCAGTGAAGCCCAGCGGAGGTTTCTGCAAGTAGATCTGGAGGAGCCACTTGCTCCATCACAAACACAGAGTAAAAAAAAAAAACAGAGATGATGCAAAAGGGGTCAGGGGACTTAATCTTGACAAAGGAAACTTAGCATCCTACTAGTGCTACCACAACAAATTTGTTGACTGAATAGTAGCACACTAATTAGCCAGAATTTTCAAGGCATGGAAGCATTTAAACAGGGCAGGGTATACAGACCATCCTTTAATAATATAGTATGAATATGAAACATGTGATGGCTAAATGATACAACAGACAAGAAAGAAAACAGTAATTGAAAATAAATTCAGCACACAATATGTAGTTCCAACAGTTACATGCAAAACTTATAGAGGTTGTCCAAAAAAAAAAAAACAAAATTGAGAATTCCGCTTAACAAACACTTTTGTATGGTATTTTTGAGGGAAAAAGCATCTTGTATGGTGTTGGCACATCAGGGTTTGTTTTTTATCCCAAAAAAAGCTGACCCTAAGATCATCCCCACCACCGCCAACACTATCATTATCTAATCAGGACCTCGGTCAGTCAGTCACAGCAACCAAAATATGCAACATAGTTAAGATTCCTGACACCTAACAGCAACATAGTCATATATCATAATCTCCCAGGTAATAGGAACTAGGAAGTGGTCCAGGTCATAATGGTCCTACCCATACAACAATATGCAACACTACAACCAATATATACTCCACATCAGAATAACCTCAAAAGTCAAATGTTTCCTTCCCACCAGAAAACACAACACAAATCTGCTTTGTTCAATAATGCACTACCAACTACTCCCTCCGTCCCAAAATAAGCGCAGCCATGAGTTTCCGTGTCCAACTTTAATCGTTCGTCTTATTTGAATTTGTTTGAAAAAAACTAAAAAACATAAGTCACGCGTAAAGTACTTTTCATGTTTTATAACCTAATAACAATAAAAATACTAATCATAAAATAATTTCAAATAAGACGGACGGTCAAAATTGGACACGGAAACTCATGGTTGCGCTTATTTTGGGACGGAGGAAGTACATCCCCTGCAAGGCTGCAACCATGCAAGAGAGAGAGCAACAAATTTGTTGACTGAACAGTAGTACACTGATTAGCCAGAATCTAAGAAATGGAAGTGTATAAACTGGTTAGTGCATACAGAATTACAGACTAACCTTTAATAATACATAGTGTGTATGAAAATGTGATGGTTAAGTGATACAGCAGACAAGAAAGAAAACAGTAATTGAAAATGTACTTAGAATTCAACAGGTAGTTGCAAGCAGTTAGATGGGCAGCTTGTAGAGGTTGTCCAGAAAAACCAAGATAGAAAATTCTTCTTAACAAACTGAACACTATAGATATCCAAGAATGGTGATCTTGTAAGGTAGTATTTTATATGGGAAAAGGCATCGTGTATGGTGTTTCCAAGCAGTGCGTGCGTTTTATAATAAAGAAAGTTGACCACCAAGATCATCCCCACCCCCACCACTAACCCCACTTATAAAACATGTGTCAAGACTATAAAAATCTAATCAGGGTCTCGATCAGAAACAACCACAATATAATGCACAGCCAACATTCTGGAGTAGTCAACAGCCAACATTCATAATTAAAATTCTGACACCTGATAGCAACAAATATCATAATCTCCCAGGTAATAGGAACAGCAAGTGGTCCAGATCCTGATGGTCCTACCCATACAACAGTACGCAACACTACAACCAAATACACTCCACAGCAAAACAACCTCGAACTTTTCCATCTAATCACAAAACACGACATCTGATCTGTTCAATAATGCACGAGCAGCTACATCCCTGCAACAATGCTACTGAGAGAGAAAAAGAAAGAACTCCTGGGAATCGCCAATCCCACCAAAAGTCCAGAACCAAATCACACGGAGACAATCAATTGGCCCAAGAACCAGCCATAAAATTTACCCATCCGAACCCAACTGCATCTCAAATCAGTCAATCACCCACGTTTAGAGCATCACAATTCCCCCCCCCCCAAAAAAAAAAAAAAACGGAGACCTTTTTCTTCGGAGAAAGAAAAATGGAGACATTTTGGGGAGGAGAGAAATGGAGAGCGCATTTGGCGTGTATACCGAGGAAGGTCGAGGAGCAGACGGCGATGGTGAGGCTCTCGCAGAGCGTGAAGAGGCCCAGCAGCAGCAGGTTCACGGGGTGCTTCTCCCTGTACTTGAGCATCGGCCACAGCACTGCGCAAACCCCAAAACCCCAATCAGATACCACCATGGAAGAAAGAAAGAGAGATCGAGGAACCAAGCAAGGGAAGGGAGGAGGAGGAGGAGGAGGCCGCAGAGACCGATGAAGGGGCAGAGGAGGATGGCGAGGTAGACGAGCCACGAGGCGAGGGAGCCCGCCGCGAAGAAGCGCGGGATGGGGCGGACGGCCCACGCCACGACGGCGATCGCCGCCGTGACGGCGAACTGCAGCGCCAGGATACAGTACACCTTCCGCACGAACGCCCACCGCAGCCGCGGGTCCTCCTCCTCCGCCGCTACCTTCCTCCTCGCCGGTGCCTTCTCCGCAACCACCTCCTTCTCCCCCGCGACTCCCATCTCCGGGTCGGGCTTGGCGGCGTCGCCGGCGGCGGCGGCCTCGGCCTTCGACATTCCGGCGACGGCTAGGGTTTTCGTCGTCGCGGGTTTTGGGGGGAAAACGGCGGCGAGAGGTAGACGAAGCAAAAGCAACTGCACAGCGGAAGCCATGGCGCGGATATATCGAGCAAGGCCCAGTCACTGACATGTGGGGCCAATTTGTCAGTGTAATGGAGCGTCTTCGACTGATCGGTTAGAGATTCTCTGGACACGTGTCTAGGGGTGGTTGGAGGATTGTGGCGAGTTGGGCTCACGCTCATTTTTGGGCACACGGAGTTGGAGTACCTACACAGATTTTTAATTTTTAATTAAAATCTAATAAATACAGTAAAATATAAAAGCAATTAAAAAAATACCATAATAGACACTAAATTACCATATCTGCAAGAAAAAGACCATATCCAATATAAATTTTAAAACTTACATGTGAAGATTAAAAAATTACACTGTAACTTACAAGAAAACACACTGTAAATTTGAGTGAGAGATAAGAAAAAATCTTTCGAGTGAGATATAGCGAAATCGTTGGGCATATATGCTGGTTGGTGGCTTTGTAATAATAAACTCAATATAAAATTGTTACTGTGCTGTATGTGGGTTAATTTTGTTGATGAAATACCTCTAATAAATATCCTTATACCCTCCTTCTCTGAAATAAAAAAATCAACCTTTTAGGATATATCTGAACAAGTGTTTATCCAAATTCACCTTAGAAATTGTGCTTGTTCAAATTCACTTTACAATCGAAACAAGACACTGTATTATTATAGAATATATGCCTCGTGGCTAACACGTATCACCAACTACTTATTACTCCACAAGTAAAGAGGATCCGCTACAATAACTTATGTAGTTATTAGAGCGAATCCTCATAGGAAGTAACCTGTACGCTCTCTTGTGAACCGCTCTTACACCTATTTCCAATGCATCTTAAGTTACGATTAGCATGACAAATTTTAGCTCAAAATTCATCTTATATTTCACATGCTTAGCCAACATTTTAGCCTGGAATTCATTCATCAAGAATTTTAGACCTACAACGCCTCTATTGTTTGGGGAAAGGTAATAATTTGTTCAAGATACCAATAAGTAGTACTAGTACCAGGGAATTTTACAATGTGAGATCAATTACTACTGGTTTATATTTAAGTGATGACATTTCTCTATTTTTTTTAAAAAAAATTATACACGAGAATCATGATTTGTTGGGGTGTTTTTGGAAAAGCTAGGGTCAACCGATCCCATAGATTAAGCATGAATCCGCCACTGACTAATGCTACTTATATATACTATACTTAGGCCCTCTTTGTTTAGGTTTATAGGTTTGTTGGATTAAACTTTTAAGTCAGCTTATTGGCTTATATGATTTATGCCGGTGGATTTATTGTCCTAAGTCAAATAAGTCAAAAAAGCTTCTCCAACCTAGCTTTTGGCTTAAAAGTGTTAGATTGTCTTATGGCTTCAAAAAAGCCAAATGAAAAAAGCCACTTGTTTGTTTAGGCTTAGACTTTTCGGATTATAAGTTGGCTTATAAATCTAAACAAAGAGGGCCTTAATAGAGGAAGTATGTGCAGGTGTAAGAAATAAAACAATAGCAAATTGTGTAGATATTTAGGGTGTGTTTTGAAAGGAGGTGAAAAAGAGAATATTATGAAGATATGCAAGATAAGGTGTAACCATTAGCGGATGATTAATTGATATTAAGCATTCTAAACTTGTAAATGGATCGGTATAATTATTTTTAAATTAACATTTCTATGAAAAACGTACGCATAAAAAATGAGCTATATTTATCCTTTGTGCTTCAAACGGACGCATCCTCACTCCTCAGTACTAACAACTTTGTTTTGTGTCATCCTTGTTGTATGCCACATTGCCATGACCTCACCATGCAAGACCAAAGTGTAGTATTTATGCTTTTTCCTCATTTGCTCAAAGTTTTTCCATCTGCCCACCTCCAATCACCTCTTCTTCAACATCTTCCCCTAGTCTTGAGCTACATGGTTCCTGATTTACGCGGCGAACCCAACTAACCTCTCGCTCTCACCGCTGACTCATATCCAATGATCATTCAACAACCAAAAAAAAAAACTCTGAGATCACACACAAACTTGAAAGGAACTGGTACAAGAAAACAAGAAGGAAAATGAATTAAATTTTCCATAACCCTAAATCTAGGTAGGCAGAGGGTGGTTTAACTTGTTCAAAAATTTTGCCGTGCACATTGCTGTGTAACATTTCACGGAATTTCCCCTGCCGTGTCATGTCACTCCCCCCAAATTTGGGTGCAACAATTTTGCAACCTTTTCTTCCTCTCCGGTGTAACTGCGTGCAATCTCGTTCAACTCGTTTTCCCATTTTTATGGTATAAATATACATGCAGGTGTTGTAACTAGCTTTTGTTCACTTTTTTGTTTTGACCAGGAAAGCTAGCTTGGCCACTTCACACGGCAGCATCCTCTGCCTTTGCAGATCACGTCTTGCCACTTTGGTACTCCGGTGCAGGTTCACAGTTCCGACGAAAACCGGTCGAATTTCGTGAAATTTCGATGTTTCAACATGGCTCGAAATTAAGTTTTGATCAAAATTTCGAAGGTTAAACAGTAAATTCAGTTAAAATTTATCAAAAATCATAATACTAATAGGGCTCGAAATTTAGTAGAGGTAATGTAAACCCTCCTCCGGCGACGGCGATGTCACTGGCGATGGTGGACTCCTCCGCCGCAGCCACCGTGCAAGCCAGCCACGTACGTCCCGATGCTGGGCCACGTGGCAAGGGCTTTTCGTGAGGGAGTTCAGAGAAGAAAACAAAAGCCCATGAAGCTCTTTTTATACTCCCTCCGTTTTACAATGTAAGTCATTATAGCATTTCTTAATGTTAATGAATCTAGACATATATATCTATTTAGATTCATTAACATCAATATAAATGTGGGAAATTTTAGAATGACTTACATTGTGAAACGGAGGAAGTATGTTCTTTTAAAACAGGATACAATTTTGAACTAAATTCATCTCACCTCTACATGTTGCAAGTTTGGACTAATTTCATCTCACGAAGAACCAACCAAACATTGACACAAAAGAATCAATCGAACACATACTGATACTGAAAAGAGAGCGGATAAATTAAGGAGAAGGAATTGGAATTCAACTTCTCAATTAACGAACCAGATGGTTCTCAAAAAAAAAAACAATTAACGAACCAGATGATGATCACACACACTCGTGGCAAGGAGAAGTATGCGGAGGTCGGCGACGTCGTGATCAGAGGCATCTCTACACTGCACAGACGATAGAAATAATATGGGACTGCCTATTCATTTGTCGGGCCGGCCAGCCCATTCATGTTCGTCTGTTACAAGAAACAGCCCATAGATTGGCCCATTTGACCGTGCAAAAATAAGGACAGTTTTCAGAGGCCTCTCTCCATTTCTATGATGTAGGCTTGCCTTGCCACTGCAGCTTTAAACTTCTGGCAAATTGTCCAACCAAATATTCAAAACTGAAAGTCGAGAAAGTTAATCTTCGATGTTTCAGACGGGGAGACATATGCCCTTTATTTTACAGAAAATTTAACGATCTGCCACTCCCTAGATCGTCCCTTGCCACCCCATGAGAAATAACACCAAAGATCATTTCAGTTAGTGAGACGTGAGTCAGGATAACAAATTATCATCACGTCTTTTTTGTTTACCAGAAACTTCAGTCTCCTCTCAGTACCATCAGAGATTTGACTGCCAAAATTCACTGTGCATTCACATTCTACTCTTTCCGTTCCAAAATAAATTAACATTTAGAGTTTAAATTTTGTCCTCCAAACTATACTACCTTTTCTATCTATTATTGGTTTGCAGATCGATAAATTTTATGCCTTCAATACCCCCACCTACTCATTCATGAATACAACTTTCCTACTTAAGGGTATTTTATTTATTTTCTTATATACTCATTGTGATGTTATGATTTGATTTTTATTAGGATGGATGGAGCATGTTTATAGGAAACATAAATTTAGCTAGATAACAAAGTTTTTTTCTTACAGATGCGCCATTGACTAATTAACTAGCACCAATAATTTAGATATATAGGATCGAATTGGCGTTCACCGCGTCCGTAGTTTATATGTAAGGATTGGCGACAGATACCAGCTGATGGCACGTGATGATCGATTGATCTCCATACATGCAAGCAGCCATTGAACTTATTTTTCTTTGAATCCTGGCATTATTTATCACTCGCATGTTCAGGAATTGAGCTAATCTATTGAACCACTCCGTATCGAGCCCTACTCTATTTACATGTTCAGTAGCGCATCTAATTCGGTTAAACGATGGTGGTGACTGAACTGATCAAATAAAATTCAATTAGTTAGCAGTTGAGATCGAACTACTAATTAACCGAATTTTTCGGTTTTGATCTTTTCAGTCTATTTAACCGTTCTTTTCTCATTAAGATACAAACTTTACCTCAGTTTTCGTTAGCAAGTTTTTCAAACTACTAAACGGTGCGTTTGTACGAAAACTTTTTATATAGAAGTTAGTTTTAGCGTTTGTACGAAAACTTTTTATATAGAAGTTAGTTTAAAATATAAAATATATCCATTTAATCAAGTGCTAATAGCTTTCTCGTTTACGTGCGCAAAAAATCTTTCATCTTCATCAGTTTCATCATGTGCCGAAAAATATGTCTTGATCTTTTAGTTTCAGCCCATTTTGCCTGTTAAATATGTTATCTGAATTTTGGCCCATAATATATTCGGATTAGTTTTTTAATAGGACTCTGCATTATAGGATTAATTGCCTATTAGGACGGCTAGATTTCTCCGATATATATTTCTTGTAAGCTGCACGAAAAAGGTGCGACAACCCAATATATCCCCAGCGGTATCCATCTGTATCTCTTTGTCTCGTGTGTCTGTGAGAAAGTTAGTAGTGGCACACAGTATCTCTCACAAGTATCAATATGCACAGTATCTCACAAGTATCAATATGCATGTGTGTGCCTCCTTTTCACAAGGACGGTACGGCTGCAGGGCAAGTACCCTGTACCCTTGAACCTCACATGACAAACAACAAAAAGATATACT